ATATTTTGATTGTAACTCAAGCAGAGCTTTGAAATATGCGATTGCTTCTTGATAATTTTTCAATGCTTCTGTGTAATTAGCTTGTTTATGATAGTTTTTCCCAATATGTGCAATGATTTCTATCATTTCAAGTTGTTTTTGTAATTCTGATTGAAATTCTAATTCTTTTTTAAATTTCTTTGTTGACTCAACATATTTACCTAGTTTATTGAAAGTTAGTCCCATATATGTGTATGTTGTTGCTAAATGATCTTTGTCTGAATTGGGCTTTTTCAGTTGATTTTGAAGAAATTTTTCAGAATTCTCAATTGATTTTTGATAATTTTCAAGTAAAAGATAAGTATTACCAATATAAAAATATAATAATTCGAGATCATGATGATCTTCTTTAAAGATTTTAGTCATGATTGTCTGAAACACTTGAAAATGTTCTAATGCTTTATCGTATTGATTTAGTTTTAAATTAATTCTACCAAGATTAAAATGTGTGGCAGCTAAATCTGGATGAGTGTCTGGAGATGACGTCAGTTGTATTTTAAGTGCTTGTGCGCAATGCCTAAGTGCATCAATAAAATTTTCTCGAATTAAATAAATCACACCGATACTATTTAATATAGCTGCAAGGTCGATATGATCATTTGAAAGTGATTTTAGTCGTATATCAAGTGCTTTTTGAAAATAATCCATAGCTGTATCATTATTTCCAAGTTTATAATGCACATCTCCCATATTATAATAAATCGATCCAATAGTTGGATGATCATGTTCTAAAGTATCACAAAATATAGTCAATGCTTTTTCATAAAAATCTAAAGCTTTTATTTGATCATTAGTATTTGTATAAAGTAATGCTATGTTGTTATATGTCATTCCAATTTTGTAATGATTCGATGGTAATGATTTTTGTTCAATTTTCAATGCTTTCATATAATTATTTAATGCTTCATCATAACGATGTAATTGATTTAGCAATAATGCGATATTATTGTAAGTTGAAGCAATATTTGGATGTAGCTCTGGTAAAGATTCGAGTTCAATATTAAGTACTTTATTGTAGTATTCTAGTGAAAGTTCGTAGTCTAGTTTATGTCTGTAGACCATTGCAATATTGTTATATGTTTATGCCATAAAGAGAGCATTTTCTGGCATAGATTTTAATTTAATATCACGTGCTTGTTTTAAATTTTCTATTGCTTCTTCATACTTTCCAGTTCAATCGTTTAACAAACCGATTGAATCGTATACGTAAGCAAGAGCTATTTGAAAATCTGATTCTAGATTCAACGCTATTGATAGAGCTGGCTCATAATATTCTGACGTTATGTGATAGTTTCCTCTATTTAAATAAGTATCACCAATATTGGTGTAAACTATTAACATAAAATCATCATTTGGTGGCAATTGTTCAAGTAAAATTCGATTGTATTTTTCTGCTCTATCGTTATCTCCCATGTAGAAGAATATATTACCAAGATCGAAAAGTGTTGATGTTTTGCTAATTTCTTCCTCAAAACTAATCATAAGTTGCTTTAGTTCTAAGTTGTGTCTATTATATAATTTTAATTCAATGGACCAAATAGTATCATTCATTGGTTCAACATTTTCAATCCTAAATATTGTACCTATTGAAAATAATATTTCTTCTTCATGGCTAAAATGACTCGAATTTTCAATAAGAGCATACAGCTGATCATGAATATGATCGTCAATAGAATTTGTAAAAATAACTGTTGGATTATCTCGAGTACCATCAATACCAAATCGAGAGGCAATTGACGATGATTTACTTGTCGAAAAAAATGTATTCATTAAAATCAATCCATTTGGATTTTTCTTCTAAAGCTTTTAACTCTTTTATCGACATTTGTGCTCCACGATACACGGTGGGTGTGAGTATATGGCCTGTGCAGACAATACACCCGCACCCGCACCCCATACCCACACCCCTGCTGATTCTGAAAGAGTTTTCAAAAATATCGAAAGAAGAATATCGATGATTTTCTCACATGAAAATAGTTCGTGTCTGGTTATGGTTCAACAGCTCGTTTTAGACAGTCATCTACGTTTTGTCAAATGGGATCTAATTAAATATGTCGCAATTGAAGAAATATTGTTTTACTTACTAGATGATGCTGCATTCAAATGAGCAACAAGTGCCACTGGTTGTATTAGTGGTATGGATGACTCAATTTCTTTTAGTTGAATCACTCTAAGAGTAGGACCTTGATCGAGACAACCAACAACTTTAAATTGAGTAGCAGCAGGAAGAAGTATTTCATCTTCATTTGGAAAAAAAGGAATAATTACGAATATCTTTGCCTGAATTGCATTCAATAGTAAACATCGTTCTTGTTTTTGTTTTACCCAGAAATAATTCAGATTGTAGTACATCAATTGAGGTAGTTCATGAGGAAAACCCCCATCATATAATTTTTTCACCTTTTCGATAGCGATCACTCAAATCTGTTTTAACGCCTCGATAGACAGATCGATGGTGAGATTGTAGACGTGAGAATGCAGTGAGAATCAATTTGAGATAGAGATACTATGGATCAAGTTTTTGTCTGTCTGTTGATCGAAGTGCAGCATTCAACGCAAAATATAGACATTGTTCAAGTGGTTCCCATCCCATCGAGTAGAGCATAATCGAAGCTGACTCGTCTTGTGTCAAACCATCTTCAGGTTTCTTGTATTTTTCTTTGGCCATATAGGCATAATCTTGTACTGCAGGTAGAATAGGAACGAGTGGTTGTACGGCTTCTTCGAGTGACATCAATAGCATTTGATCATAGCCATGAATTGGCGCGAGTATCTCTTGAGGTTCTTTATCAATGTCCGAGATGCACAGAATGCGTTGTGTGATTTCGTCTGTTGCCATGTCAAACACCGAAAATTCTTCGATATTTCTGAAAAGATGAAGAAACAATATTCAAGCAAAGGATTGAAAACTCAGTTGAAATATCATTTGCATTTGTCAAAAATTGCAAGAAAAAGAATTGATTTAATCATCACTTTACAATTATTTTTCTCTAAGTCAATAAAACTCTCCAAACTTATTAAAATTGATGATAATAATTCATCGATCATCTGTGCTCATTTTTAGCGATTGTATTTGATTGAGTGAGTGCAGTTCTGTTGTGAAAACAAAGGGAAAAAATACACGCGGAGCAATACTCAGATGGAGAAGAAAATAATGAATTATGGGTGTGGGTGTGGTAGAGATGAAGATTCATATCCACACCACACCCACACCCACACCCTAATGTTAGACAATTTCTCTCTTTCTCTCCATCCTTCGAATTATCTATCTTGTTGTAGTTCAGTTAGGATCGTATGTATTTAAAAAAAAAATATAAAATTAATCATGAACAGTCATGTAAATTTTAACGACAACACGAGATCATTTTCAAGATAAATTTGTGTCACAAAAGTCGGCAATCTCAGCGTATGCTTCAATAAGATCTTCCGGTTTTTCAATGTCTGTCAGCTTGCCTTGCATTTTCTCAGTTATTTGTTGGAGAACTTTTCTATTATAATCACCAAGACCCATTGTCCAAAAATGAGTGATCATTGATTTGTAATCGGTAGATAAACGTTCTAATTCAGATGTTGGATAAACTTGAGGTTCTCCATCTGTTAGAAAGATGATTGTTTGTCGAAGACTATTACATACTGGGTCGTTCTTAATTTCGTTCAGCGTTTCAATGAGCATAGCGAATGCAACTGAAAAGTTAGTACCTCGACCACACATTGACATCGGTATATTAAGTTGATCCATATCAATGTGATTTAATTTTTCTCTATTATAAACTCGTGTCGCTCTATTACCGAAAATAATAATGGTCATTTGATCAGTATGACATACTTTTTGAATTCTAATGCGAATAAATTCTCTGACAGCTCTAAGCAAATGTTCCCATGGACTCAAATCCATTTGATGAGAATCACTCGTCGTAGTAGCCGTGCTGCTCGATATCAATAAACAAGATATCTGTTTAAAAATTGAATCATTCATGGAACCGGAATGATCGAGTAGAAGAATAAAATGATTCACCGGAATTGGACTATTTTGTGTGACAAATTTCATTCCATTACCGAACTGTTGACACAGTTGTTCTCCAATTTTGTTCCATATATAGGTATAGGGCGTCTTTTGAGTTGCTCGAATTCTTGAGTCACCAAAATCCCAATTGGTATGAGCATTTTTGAAATCTATCCATGTCTGTCGTCCACCTCTACTAGTAATAATAAGATCTTCATCTTTGATTATTTCACACCATACTGTCGATGCTTCATTGATCACTTCATATCGTACGCCACCCATACCTCGAATTTGATGGCCAGATTGACATCGATGTCTATTCTCTCCTTGACCCACAGGTGTAGCATTGTCCAATCGATGATCAATATCACATAAACGCTTGCAACAAGGACACTGTTCTTGACAGCCACGTACTTGAATAAGTAGTCGTTCTCGCGTGTTACGACAACTGTTTTCAACAAAAGTAGTCATGCAATTTTGCAAGGCTTTTTTCATGGTTGTTGTTTGATTGATGAGTTTATCGAGAAAAAAGTCAATGTAAGTGATTGTATACGTTTCAAACGTCGTCTTCATCGAACAAAAAATTTCTTTCAGTTGATCACTTAATTTCGGCATACTATTGATAATTTCTTGCCATTTCGATTGAACTGTATACGTTAAACCATTTTTAGTAGTTATCTGCGTCGAAATAGATTCACCTGAAAGATATTGATAAAGAAGTGTAGCCATACATAATTTCTTATCGAATAGATTCTGATCAATATCGTTACTCGATGGTTCGAATAGATCATCGACAAAAGTCAATGAATCTCCACCTTTCAATCTCAATACAATTTTGATTGCTTCTATGATGCGAAAGAATTCAGCTACTGTCTCTAAATGTGAATTCATACTGATGTTGAGCCGTTGATGGATTGTCGTTTCGATGTTTTTCCATCGTCGATCAAATCGTTCGATGATTACTTGCATTGGATGGAGAACATAGCGCAGAAGCCAATCATTTGTAGCTTCGTACACTTCATCATCGAGCTCTTTCATAATAGAATATCGATTCAGTGTAAGTAGTTCATTTTCAATACATTTTCCAATAATTTCTTTTGCTTTCTGTTCAAATGACTGACGTAATATATCAGAAAACTCATTGACAAGATTAGTAGCAACATTTTCATCATCATTCTCTTGAATTACAACCATGCGAAGAAAACGATGTTGCCATTTAGCCTTATTTTGATGTATTGACATGAGCATACTATTAAAATGGTTTTTATGTCGATGATAGTAGAATAGTGCAGTCGATAGTACAGCACAAATATGTAGAATACTTTTTAAACTTTTTGACATAGAAAAATTGAATATATTTAGTTCTTGATTCATATCTTGTATTAATTTATTGACTTTTCCCAATATATCTTGTAGAAGAATAATTTCAGTTGAAGGTTCATCATCATTAATTTTTAATTGAAAGATTTCGTTTATACGTTCAATTAATATTTCGAAACAATAGGACACTCGAACAGTCGTTTGCCATTTGTTATTAATTTCTTGAGAAAAATCTTGACGTATACCTGGTCTAAATGTATTTCTTGTTCGTGTACTAGTATTTTTGTTGCCGCAAAATATTGCTAGTAATGAATCATTGTTGAGAAATGTATACGGTTTCTGTAAATCAGAAAAACAAATTGTGTAAACCTTATTTGTTGTATGCGGAGCGAGAGGATTAATATTAGAAGCTTTCGATATAAATTCCGTAGAGATTTTTAATAAACTTTGATGAAGAAAATCAGATTGATCAAACGTATCAAATGTCATGAGAAAGGGTAAATAGGCGAGAACATTATCGAATGATGGTAATGCATCTTGATCAAATACATCATAGAGACGGCAAACTAAATCAATCGATTGTTTCCATTGAGTTTCCGAATCAAATTCTGCTGTGATACAAGCAAAACGATTTTGCCACATCCTCTCAAATTTATCAATTGCTGAAGCTTTATCAATAAAATGATTTCTGCCTGTTGTATCATAGGCAAGTTGTCGAAGTTCAGCATCACTATCATGTATCATTTTATTTAGTTTGTCTCGTTCACCTGCCATGATAGCTGACACTTCCCATGAACGAAATCGACTTTTTACTTGTACTTGCATAAAACGAAATAATCGTTGACGAACATTTTCACTTACTGCATTTTTTGCTATCTTTTGTTCAAGATTTGATTCAAGAGTTTTTAAAATTTTATCTTGTTCAATTTGAAATGAATCTTGAATACAACTTCTACTATTATTTTTTTCTCTATTGATCAACAATTGAGCTTGTGTTGGTGATAAATATTGTTCAAAATCGTTTCGAATATCTTGTCGTATGTTATTGTTTTGTTCGCGTTCAAAAATATCTTTAAAATAAGTTAAATCTGGATATTTTTTGATGATTTGAAGTACACTATTAGCAAATTCAATCCATTTTGTTGGTATTGAAAAACGATCACCAGTATCACGAATTATTTGAAATGATGAATCAATAAAAAGTTTGCATAACTTTTGAACATTTGTAACAAATTTAATATCGGTTGATAATACAGCACATTCTCCATTCGGATCTAAAAATGGCTTTCGATTAAATGCTGTCGATAAAACATGAAAATTATTCGGTCCAAGATCAATTAAATTATTGAGACCATTTGCTATCAAATCATCTCGAATGATTTTCACTTGTTTCTCACAATTGGCTTTGTTTGGATCGGCTTTTTGATTAAGAACAAAATGAACTGTTGGTCGACTTACACGAGTTTCTCCTAAATAATTAAGAGATTGTGTACATAGGATAAGCATCTGTTTCAATGTTTCATGAATTTCACCACTAATATTGACAATAACTAAATGCGATATAGCCAAACAAAAGAGAATCAAACGTTTGTCATATTGTTCGTCACCTTTCTCGATAGACAATAAACCTTCGGTATCAATTAACAAAATATAATCGTAATCAGGCGGTATTAGATTATGCGTAACTTCTTCTGATCTAATTTTTACTAATGTTCCATAGATACCTACAATATTGAAATGTTTAAAATAATAATCAACAAATTTTCAATGGAAAATTTCTTCTATACAGTTAAACTATAGTAAAGTAATCGTTAAAATCATATAAACTTACCTCGAGTACATCGTCCTTCACGTACTTCAAATAAAGTGCCAAATAAGAAATTAAGCAATGTACTTTTACCACTATTTTGCGGTCCGATTATACTCATAATAAAAAATTTTTTCTTATGAAATAAATGCATTACTTCTATTAAAAATTCGCCTTGCATTTCGAAATTATCACCATCGACAATTTCGAAAGGATTTCCTTCGTCAATATAATTGTGATATGCATCGATAAGTGTTTTGCGTTCGGCATTTGATATATTTTTCGAACTGATCATAGCATTTCGCCAATGGATTTCAAGTGACAATTGTTGATAGAATGATGTCATATGATCTAGAACTGTGTTCTTGTCTCGTTCATGTTTCAATTCAATAGATAATAAATTCAAGTTATTCAATTGATCTTCTTTGTTTTGAATGAATTGTTGAAAGAAAAGTTGAAATGCTTTACCAGTTGCTTGAAAACCAACTCGTTGCTGCTTTTCTAGTTCTGCACTAATTTGAAACAATCTGCTATGAAGATCATAAAGCTTTTTATCTTGAAAATCGGCATTATACGGATCCATCTTGGCTATTTTGAGTCTTGTATCACACATGCGAGTAAACAATGAATAGAGTGGATAATCATCTTCTTTTCCATGAATAAGAACTGGTCGAATAGAATCAATAAATACTTTGTCTTGATCAGCATTTCTATGTTGAGCGGTATTCATGAGTTGTTCGAAATGCTTTTGGATATTGTGTTCGTTTGAATAAGAAAATTTGACAGCATTGAGAAAAATTTGTTCGCGTAATTGTTCAATTTTTTCTTTATTGACATAAGTATTCTTGTCAGCAACATTTGGCAAATAGAAGATCTGACAATTCGAACAAATCGAATATACCCTTGTGATAGCCGTTTGAACTTCTTCGTTGTCCTCATCGTCAAGATCACGTATGAGCAAGAGAATATAGTTTGGATGCGAAAGCACACGTAGAAATTCAATGACATCCGATGTGTTCGAGATAAAATACGTTGATTAAACATGAATGATAAAACCATTGAATAATTGACAAATACGTTTGAGAGTTTCGATTAAAATATTACCATGAACATCAGCAACATTTACAGAGCGTCGTTCAACAAAATGGTAGCCGAAATCAACATCGATTGTTTCATGAAAGTACGGACTATTCATTGACTGTTCAAAGTTCGTTTCGAATAAAGCATTAACAAGAGGACTTTTACCTTTGCATTTGCCTACACCAAATGAGAGTAGAATAGGTCGACTAAAATCCCAGACATGAATGATGCTTGATACAAAACGGTATCCGTTGTTGATCGTGTTGGTAGGCGGTTGAATCATCGGTACTGGGTTACGTTTGCTAAGAAGAAATGTTAAACGTCGACAAAGAAACCGATTTGAATTGATCATCATTACGTCGACTAACCAACGTTGACTAATACATGGAATATCATTTTCTTTCGAGAGTAAACTTTTTAGTGGCTCCAAAAAGTCAGATAGATTTTGTTCACGTTTGAGCAAATACATCATTGGTTGTATGGCGTCGAGAATAAGAAAATTCAGATTGCGATTAAATTCACCTTTGAACTTTTTCACAAGATCACTAGCGATATCTTTCATCTTTTTATCGGTATATTGAAGTTCGCCTGCATTGACAAGATCTTTCAATGAAAATTGAAATATGGCAAGATCATTGCCATGATCAATTGCATCATTTATTTGGTTTGATGGTATTGTTCCTTGGTTAACTGAATAAAGAAAATGCAAGACTTACATCTACACTTTAGTTCAACTCTTATCTAGATTTAATAATTGAAATACATGTATGCTACATGTTGTTTTAAAAATGTAAACAAGATTTTCTGCTTTTATTCTCAACAATTCTGATTTCTCATAACATTCACGCATATTTTATTGAATTCAGCTGAAATCTTTACTATAGATAGATATTTTTAAGTATTCTCTGAAAACTAAATCAGTGAATGTCTTTTTCAAAATATAGAGTAACGTATTTTAAAAATAATATTTAGCTCAATCGAATAAAGTTTGATGTGATATATGAACATGTATCTCCTTGTTCTAGGTACTCTATCTGTGATGAAAATTTCAGGTGAGACTACCCTTAAGAAAACAAAAGAATAAATTCACCTGACTTCAAATTCGTCAGTACTCTTAATTTCATATTCGTCCGATTGCTATAATCTTCCTGAATTAAGGATATAAGTTTGTTCAAGTCAACGATAACAGCTTTAATCTAAATCGACAATGAATTCAAATTAAATTCAATAAGATTACTCTACTTTGTTAAAGTTTCGTGCCCATGCTAAATTCTTTTCTTGATCCATGCAGAAAACATAGATTGCCAAAACTTGAGAAAATTCATGAATACGAGGCACTAATTCTTGACCGAGTCGTCCGCTTACGATGACAATAAATTGATATTGATTCATTTGATCTTTGATGTATTCTTCACATTGATCAATAATTTCGAATGTCTGAATATTATTGATGATGGTACGTAATTCTTTTTGTGCATTGAAATTTTCTTCCGTTCTATTTACATCAGCATCAAGCCAAATTAGAATAAAATTTTCAATGCTGCTATTGCATGCGAATGCATTATTGTCAGATGGAGCATTTGTTGTCATAGTTTCGTTAAAATGATTGCTTCTGAAAATCAATTTGTTTTCGTATTCAGTTTTTGCCTGATACAAAATAAATATATCTTAAAAAAAATACTTGAACTTCTTTCTATAATATGAAGTAATCTCTTTGTTGCCTTTTCTTTTCTTGAAATAAAGTATTTA